AGATGCACATCTTTTCTTTGAAACAAAATGTGAGCTCTTATGGTGTGCACAGAAAAGAGGTTAATTTTTAGGTTGAAATCAATCATTCTGATAATCAGTGATCAAACTTGTAGTTGTGATATTAGCTGTCCGTGTTTGCACACTTTACCGTATGACTATGAAAAACTGTCAGGAGTAACATTTAAGAAGTTTCCGTCAGCTTTATGAGAATTAGCTAACACGGGAGGGGAAACAACATTTGTAAGTTTTGTTTTCACTCGGTGGACATTTGACGCTTGAGGCACCTTTTAAAATGACTTTACACTAAACACTTCCTCTACTGTCAGACTTCCCCTCATGGCTGACAGCCAGACAAGGCTGCAAACTTCTCTTGTACACCAACACACGCCTGTTTTCATTTGAACACCGTTTAGAACATTTGATTGAGTCACAGCCATGTTTAGGGTTTTCAAATCAAGCTGGTTGTGGTGGCCATTTTAACTTGGGTTGACTCCAACCGTTAATCAATTGTAGCGCTTAATTCTTTGCTGATGTTATAGAACCCCAAATTCAAACACCGGATATCTGAATAATAAATGCACAATGATCCAAAAAGCAGCTGATCCAAACAATGAAGTATTTATTCTTGCAGATGTGAATACAGATTGGTTTTCTAATAATTGTCACTTGAGGAAAACACTGCGTGATACAGCTGCTGAATGTACCGGTAATCTTACTCGGGTAATAAAGTGCCACTGAGTTGGTGTGATTACTTCTACATGTACCGATCATGTTACCACGAACTGTGCTGAAAAGTGTTCAGATATAAATAGTTTACCGGTTGGCTCTAGTGACCATAATGTTATTGCTCTGGCTGTAAAAAAAAAAAAGTTCCTATGGCCAGGCCTGAAGTAAAACACACTGCCTGGCCAAAAAAACAGAAAAGGCCACACACTAATATTTCGTTGGACCTCCTTTATCTTTGATGACATCATGCATTCACTGTGTCATTGTTCCAATAAGCTTCTACAATGTCACAAGATCTGTTTCATCCAGTGTTGCATCAATGTTTCACCAAGATCTTTCATTGATGACCAGGCTCTAGGCATGATGGGTGCATCACTTCACCTGCCTCTCTTCTTACCCTGATGCACCATCACTCCGGAACAGGGTAAATCTGGACTCATCATGACCTTCTTCCATTGCTCCAGAGTCCGATCTTTATGCTCCCTAGCAAATTGAAGCCTTTTTTTTTTTCCAGTTAGCCTCACTGGTTAGTGGTTTTTTAAGTCTCCACAGCTGTTCAGTTCTAACCCCTTGTGTTCCTTCACATTGTGTTTGTGGAAATGCTCTTACTTTCACTATTAAACATATCCCTGAGTGCTACTGTTGTTTTTCTTCCATTTGATTTCGTCAAACGT